CATTGAATACCTTCCATGACTCTCTAGACTCATCTAGTCAAATGACAAATATTTACTTTCCTAAGGGTTACTGCAGAATACTGTGCATGTTATTTTGGTTTTTGAAAACACCAGGTACTGTTTTCACATTTTACCTGGGGAAATGCTAGTCATGTCACGTATTTTAGACTGGTTTCTCTAATCTATGTATAACTGATTATTCATATTTAACACTTTTTTTTTTTTAATAGCTTTCCATTGAAATTGGAACAGAAGTTAAAAACCAAAATAAAATGTTATCAGAAATGGTAAGTGGTTAGTCACTAACTTTCTTTAAATATGGGGCAGGATTAAGAAGTTAGTAATGTAAAGCATTCCTTCTTTTAGTGTGAACATTTGTATTAAAATGTTGACAACTTATTGTTGACTGTAAAATGTGACCAATTCAGCACCAATATTTCTGTTCAAAAAGATAGATGTGCAAATGCATTACTTCCAAAGCACAACCAAGGTCTTTATACTTCAGATACAACTATTTGTTTTCAATTAGCAAATGTATAGTATTATTAAAAAGGCAGTTCTTTATTTAAATGTATTTAAGAGAAGAGGGAAGCAAAAATAAGGAAGTCAGAAATGCCTTTTTTGCTTGCATCCATCTGGATAAATGGGCAAAAGTTTTTCCTGGTTAATTTTCAGAAGTTCTGAAATAATATTAGTTTTGGAAAATTCGAAAAAACAGGAGAAACTACACTTAGCAAGCTTTAGGGTTAACTTTTTTTCTCAGAGTAACATGGTTTTTGTTGTTTTGTTTGTTTGTTTTCAAATGTAGGATAATGATTTTGACTCTACGGGTGGACTTCTAGGTGCAACTATGGGCAGACTGAGAATACTCTCCAGAGGAAGCCAGACAAAACTATTATGCTACATGATGCTCTTTGCGTTGTTTGTTTTTTTTGTAATATACTGGATTATTAAACTGAGGTGATGCAAGTTACCGTTGGTTTAAATTGTGTAATTTCAACTATGAAACAGTCTTAATTAATGAAGACATTGATCTGAAGTGACACATTCTGTTGATAAAACACAGTGAAATTGTTGTAAATTGCATTAACTATTAATGCAATGTTATATATAGTTTTCTTAATGTATCAGAATTTTTCCCATCATCCCCTGTTTTGGGGGGAGTATTTGTAAATATGCAGAAACTGCTAGCATAGTAGGTTGCTTTTTAAGGGGAAAATAGTTTTTAGAATCGATTTAAAAATACAGAAAACAATGGTTGTTCGGATATGAAATAATTGCGGAATTACAAGGCTTTCTCTTTCATTCTGCATTTCATTCTGGGCCATGCTCTAAATTAGAGCTCCAGTTTCAGGCATATAGTAATTTCTAGGTTGCAAAAGCATGAAGTATACTTGGATCTTTCTAAATGGGTTTTATCTGTGGATTTTTAAAAGGCTGGCCTGAAGCTAACAAATGTAATAGTGGTACCCCCAAAATTTATTTTTCTGGATAGCTCTGATAGTGTATATGTTTAAGTAGCTTAAACTGTGTTTTGGGGAGAAGTTACTTAAAACTGGATTTTTTTTATTTAAATGTGACAAATCATGCTTACACGTGTACTCTTTTAAGCAAATGCCTTTGATCATTGGGATCAACCAAGATGGATACAGTACAAATGTTTTCTTTATATTTAAAGTTTCTAAAACTTAATGATTCCATTGAATCACTAGAACTTTTACCATTAGTATGTTTACTTTTCAGACTGTGATGATCCCTAAATCTACACTGCATGATGTCTGAAATATGATGTCAGATATTTTGAATTTTATATTAAAGTATATTATGATGCACCTGTTGGAGGTGCTGTCATATTAAGGTTTTTTTTATTTTCAAGACAGCTTTGGCTCACCAGATAGTTTCTAATAATTGAAGCTATTACGCTGCTGAGTTCAACATTCAAAAAATTAAGTTTCCTAGATATTAAAATTGTATCTACAATTTTTGAAAAACTTTTCTAGAAATACTGTATAGTATGCTGCCACTAATAACTAATTACAAACTGACAAATAAAGTGTTCTGTAGTATTCAAGCTAGTGGTGTTTATATACATTCTTCTCTACTGTAGAATACCAATGTATTTTTTTGAAAATGGTGCTGCATTTAAGGGGCTATACTTGTGTGGGGAGCACTATTAAAATAAGAAATGGAGGTGTATGCTACGTTTCTTTCATGTTAGATTTCATATATAACAACGGAAGTGTGACATGTAAATCACCTAATACAAAACACACAGAATGTGTAAAAGTAATTAAAGCTCAAATATTTCTAGCTGATGTAATCTTTGACTGTTAAAAGGTCTACAATACTTCTACAAATAACAGAACATCTAAGTACTAACACCAGGATAATTCATTGTCTTTATATGAGAATTGCTGGGCTTGTTAAACAAGAATAGCATTCCCAAAGCTAGTCAATAGGATATTTTGCCATCCAAGATTGATGCACTTGTATAATTTTAATGAGACAGTGGAGTGCAAGGTACCTAACTTGTGAGATGATAATTACTGACATATCTGTTTGACAGCCACACTCCCCTGATACTTGATCATCTTCTAGAAATATATTTCTGGCTCTTAAACGTGGTGTCTGAGCAATTTCTAGACATGATTTATTTTATTTTTTTTTTAGCAATCAATCTGCCATACTAAAAAATGGAAAAAGTTTTTAACTACCTAATACAAAGTAGAAAAATGGGTGGATGCAGCTAGTTATATGGCAGATACATTTCCTGTCTTTGTACTGAAAAATATGCTAGGGCATCCCGTAAGTCTTGACAGAGCACATATTGGTAAAAATCTTTTACCAGTCCTTCAGATCATGTATAAAACGAACAGGATTTTAATTTTAAATGTCAAACCAGATTAAAAGGTAATCAGCGCAGAATAGGAACTAGGTCTTCCCACTGTCCCCACCCCCCCATTCTTTAGTGGTGCAGAGGAGTGAGGGGAAATGAATTAGGCAGGGAATCTGAAGCCGATGTCTTCCTTTCTGTGTTTCTTCATTTCAGGAGGGTTGTCTGGTTTTTTTGTAGTTGTCTAGATGGGGCAGGAAATCGGGGGAAAGCTTAAACACAAGGAATATATGAAGCCTCCAAACAACTTTCTACATCTCTGTTTATTAGAAAACACACAAGGACTTTTTTAATTAAGTGCTAAATCACACCTCTTCTTAGGCTCTTTTAACATGAACTTTCTGAACTGAAAGGAAACTGGAAGTTACATAGTCAAATCTGTGACATATTTCTGTATTTTACTTTTGGAGCAAGTACAGAACATAGCACATTTCCCTTTCTTCATTTCCAGTAAAAGGTCAATTTTTCAGTTTAAAATCTGAACTGATAATCCTGCAAGTTTGCTTAGAATGGTTAAGGTGACTTATGTAAAGGTGAAACTGCTGTGAGCATATTTCACTCGGGAAGGGGAATGGCAATTGGTGGAAACCGTGCATTGCAGCCTTAGAATTTTCTTGAGCATCTGCACTTACTTACTGGTAATTTTCTGATAGAAAAGTATTACTCCAACAGTCCCTTAAAATTCACAAATAGGTAGCAAGACTTCAGGATGCTGTAGTATGATCTTGTAGAATAAAATCCACTATACAGTGGATATGATAGAAAAATATTAGTACCATTTAATTGTACTTTTACAAAGTTGTAGTTAATAGCAGCTGCATAGGAATACTGCAGTTAGGTTTACTCTTGGTTTTGAAATTTTGTACATAATTTTTACACAACATTTATATATTGCATTTCTCAATTTAATGTAACTTAAGACTCCACCTAGCAACCATACAGATTATTTCCAGGTGGAAGAAAATAGCATCTTTTAACTATCAAACTGTTAACCTTACAGTATCATGGAGATTCCTTAGAAAATGCTTAACACATCCAGCTGGTTACAAGGAAAAGTCCACTGAAGCTTTTTTTTGCAATAAGGCAGGTTGTCTCTTCTGACTTAAATGGCTGCTTTAGGAAGAGCTGCTGATGTTGGTTTTGAAGGTATGGCTGATATGCAAGTAAACATAAAGAATAAGATTTAAAGAAGATCAAATTAAGAATTTATGCTTATCACAGCAGATGATGTACATTTCAGTGAGACTTTTTGTGTAACCTCACTAATTTTGAAAATACTTAGTACACACTTCTGGTTTAAGGTGACTGGCATATAACAAATTGCACCATCTAATTTAAATAATAACACACAATTTCCATATTAACTTTTTTAAAAAAAAAAATTTCTTTAATAATTACACACAAAACATGATACCTTACTGCTGAAGTTCAGGCCTCCAAAAGCTTCAGATACAATTAAACAATTGTTTGTAGAATTCTACAAAGAAAAATCAACCCCCACTCCCACCACCAAACATCCATGACAGAGCGTAGTACAAGTCAACGTGAACTTGGCAAAGATGGCAGAGCTCATTTTGATGACTACTTGCTAAAATTGAAAAATAGGGAAGGTACTTGTAACTGAGAGCAGAATCACTGTTCCAGTATGTGATTATGGAAGGGAATAATTTGTGCCTTAATTATTCATCTTGAAAGCAAAGTTACACTGAAATTAAGATTAGGCTACTAGTGAAATCATAGCTGTATCCATGTGGAAGTTATGTTTCTTAATTGTTAGCTTAGATGCTTTAAAATGTAGATACACCTTGATTAAAGAAGACATTTTTTCTGGGTGCTGAGACCCCCCAAAAAAGTAACGCAGTGAAAAAAAGGAAAAAAATTTGCAGGAGGCCACATGCTTTCAGACTCCTTCATATCAACAGAAATTTGATATTGGAGAACATGTAGAATCATCATGGTCAAAGACCCTGATAAGCAGTTCATTAGCAAAATCACCGTTACATTTTCTACTTATTTTACACTTGAAACATGTACTGGCTGTTACCTTCAGTGTGCAGTACAAGCTATGCTCTTGCTTGCTTAATTTTCAAGGAAGAGTGGAGATGCGTCACTTGCTTGGAAGTGTTTCCATGTATTTGCATATGATGGAAAGCATGGTTTCATCTGTACCACCTCCTATTGACATTAATCTCAAGTCTCTGTAGAAATATAAAGAGTGGATTTAAATATTTGCATGCTATACTGATGGAACAAGTACAGAACTGCACATACCCATTTATTCTATGCATTTATTATGGAGCTGCTTTTACTACATTGAAACCCCTTGTTTACAGAAGTACATACACAGTGTGGACAGATGTGTCAGCACTGTACATACCCTTTTGTGTACAGGGATGTTGCTAATTCAAAATCAAAAGGCTTAAGATATCATTTGGCACATCCAATTTTCAGATTCTTTCAAAAATAACCTTAACTTGGCTTAACACTCTATTTTCATCTTAAAATAAGTTAAAACCTCTCCTAGCATGCAACTGGCCCTGCTTAAGCCCAGCCAGACCTCCTGCAGCTGAACTGCATACAGACTTTTCTTTACGTCTGATCACTTTGGACTGGCATATAAAGCATCGCAGGCTCTTCCCAGGGTTTTCTGCTGGACCGCCTGCTCAAATGACCTACACTCATGCCAGCTGTCTGCAGAACACCTCATCTGTTGCCTCCTCCGGGTGAGATGGTCTGCAACGCTTCCCGCAACATCCCCGCTGTTCCTTTGTGAAAGCTGCAGCTGCCTAAGCCTGCAGTTGAATTTTAGAAGGGAAACGAGCTTTTGGAGGCCCAGCAGCAAAAAAGTGTTGCAGTACTCAACTTTGCTTAACTGTGTGGTAAAAAGAGTATTAGCCAATCGGTACATGAGATATTGCAGAAGTGTACAGAGAAGGTACAATTTCCATTCATGTTTTTTAACCAAGAACCACCCTGGTCTCCCTAATGGCTATGTGAGATCTGGCATAATCCGTATTAGTATTATATAGTATTATAGTATAGTATTAGTATTATATAGTATTATAGTATAATATTATATAATAGATAAAGCTTCTCTGCTTTAAAAATGAATAGCTGCTCCAAGCTTGTTTACTTCTCATTTGATATTTCTAATTGCACTCATTTAAAAACTGCTATTAATATCACTGAGTCATCCCTAACAGTATTGCCTAAGTTCCCTGTGCTAGCCAGATTGCAAACTACTGCAACCTTAAGCAATTTTCTTCACAAATTTCTTTTCTCCTTTGGGGAGAAGAAAAAAATACCCAAACCACCGAAACAGTTCTGCTAACCTACCTCTACTTAATTCAAACCCTGAAGATTCCCCACCTTCCTATGGACCTTGTTGAAAGCAGCAGAGCTGGGACAATGGTGGGTTACTTGTCCTTCGTTCTGCGGTGCTGTCTGCTTTTTCAAGCTGCAGAAAGCCCCTGCCAACGCTTAGCATCTTGCATCTTCACAGCACTGTAGCAACAGTAAGTAATTAATCCTCAAAACGCCTCTGTGATGCCGATAAAAATCCTCCATTTGC